TATAGCGAATTTTGAAAGTTATCGATGAAAATTGCAACATCGAAAATTTTATCAAAACTTCAAATATTGTTTTCTCAAAAACTAAAAATTATTTTTCAAACGGGTTTGTTCGTTGGAAAAAGGATATTTTTATTAACACTTTGGGAAATTTTCCAAGAAATGGATTTTATACGAATTTTTAAAACTTAATCGTCGAAAACTGAAAAATTCGAAAGAATCGTCGATTATTTCAAAAATTTATTTCTCAAGAACTAAAAGTGATTTTTCAAAACGGCTTGTTGCATTAAAAATAGGATACTTTAATTAATAATTGGTGATATTTCCACAAGGATCCTTCAAGAAATTAATTTTATAACGAATTTTGAAAATTATCGATGAAAATTGCAACATCGAAAATTTTATCAAAACTTCAAATATTGTTTTCTCAAAAACTAAAAGTTATTTTTCAAAACGGGTTGGTTCATTGGAAAGAGGACACTTTTATTAACACTTTGGGAAATTTTCATACTCATATTCCAAGAAATGGATTTTATACGAATTTTTAAAACTTAATCGGCGAAAATTGCAAAATTCGAAAAAATTGTCGATTATTTCAAAAATTTATTTCTCAAGAACTAAAAGTGATTTTTCAAAACGGCTTTTTGCATTAAAAAGAGGATACTTTAATTAATAATTGGTGATATTTCCACAAGGATCCTTCAAGAAATTAATTTTATAGCGAATTTTGAAAATTATCGATGAAAATTGCAAGATCGAAAATTTTATCAAAACTTCAAATATTGTTTTCTCAAAAACTAAAAGTTATTTTTCAAATCGTGTTGGTTCATTGGAAAGAAGACACTCTTGTTAACACTTTGCGAAATTTTCATACTCATATTCCAAGAAATGGATTTTATACGAATTTTTAAAACTGAATCGGCGAAAATTGAAAAATTCGAAAAAATTGTCGATCATTTAAAAAATTTTTTACTCAAGAACTAAAAGTGATTTTTCAAAACGGCTTGTTGCATTAAAAAGAAGATACTTTAGTTAATAACTGGTGATATTTCCACAAGGATCCTTCAAGAAATGAATTTTATAGCGAATTTTGAAGGTTATCGATGAAAATTGCAAGATCGAAAATTTTATCAAAACTTCAAATATTGTTTTCTCAAAAACTAAAAGTTATTTTTCAAAACGGGTTGGTTCATTGGAAAGAGGACACTTTTATTAACACTTTGCGAAATTTTCATACTCATATTCCAAGAAATGGATTTTATACGAATTTTTAAAACTTAATCGGCGAAAATTGCAAAATTCGAAAAAATTGTCGATTATTTCAAAAATTTATTTCTCAAGAACAAAAAGTGATTTTTCAATACGGCTTTTTGCATTAAGAAGTGGATACTTTACTTAATAATTGAAAGTGATAACAGCGACAGTTCTGTTAGTAATGAATAGGGCTCGGATTTTATGCAAAATGCATCTTCTTTATTTTCCGGAATATTTTTTTCAAAATTGGTTCCTGGGCGAATTACATAAAAATAAGGCAGATGGTACAATAAAAAAATTGCATATTTTGCATATTTTAACAATTTTTTTGATTGTTGCATAAATTGGCCTTTTACTGCATATTTTCGCATATTTTGTCATTTTTCTAGATTTGTTTCTTGTTGCTTAATAAAATAAATATAATGACTGCGTATTTTTAAATATGCGAACATACCTTTTAGTCTGCAACGATTTACAGAAACATGCGGGGAATCTCTAGCGCTGTTGAGTTTAAGTTTAAGGATATCCCAAACCATAGTTACTGTGGCTGTGTTCAGTGTGAGTGAACATTAATCTACCAATCTATAACAACAATGCCTAAAGTGATATCGTGTTCCAGTGGATAAAAAGTTATCCCGAACTAAATTTAAATAATGAGGAATTATTTTGTAAAACTTGTGCTAAAGTTGTAAGTATTTTTTTTTAAACTATGTCGTAGCATTTTAGCCAAAGATTTAAGTTAAAAATTAAAGTTTTTAGAGGAGTTGCCAATGGTTTGTTCCGAAATTGTATTTCTTATAGACTTTTACACTAGGAGTTAAAAAAATGGAAAACTGTTAAATTAAAACTAAATAAAACTATATTAAATTTAATGTCCCATTTTCTTGGAATATGTTTTTACGTATGTATCTAGACAATCGACAATGATAACTACGAATCTATTTTATAGTCTCAGAATTAAATTTTCATCTGTTAGAGTATCTATGGCTAACTTTTTAATTATTCTTTTTTAAGACAACGTGTGAGAGGAAGAAAATAAATAGAGCAACAGGTGAAAAGTGCAAAACATATACAAAAATGTGATAGAAATAGATTGATAACAACTAACTATAAGATACTAATTCCTGTGAATGGTAGTTGTCGGATATCTGTTCCACCACTATTCTATATCGCCCTAGGTGTTATAAATTGAAATATGTAAATAATGCAAGTATAATGACGAGTTAACTCGTCACCGGTCAGAAAAGTGTTAAGAGCCCCAGGGTTAGTTCTAGTTTTAGAATTAACACTAACGTGTTTAGTCCTGCATCTTTTAAGACGGCTAAACCAGAATGTTTCTAGTTCTAAGTCAAGTGTTAATTCTAATTTTAGTTGTTATTCAGTGCTCTTAATTATCTAAATTATTAAATTGACGTCGTAATAAAATGATTGATCACCTAAACTTAATTATGTCATTTAAAAAAAATCTATATAGATAAAGATGATTAATTTTTTTCAAACCTTTTTACAGCTTCTAAATCGTAAGCATGTTCAGCGACGGGCACAGAACTTGGTACAGCAATAGTTAAAAGTAAATCCCACTTCTTCAACTGTTCTTTTAACTCTTTCAAAAGTAACCCAAAGTTTGTTTTATCATCCAAAATTCCTCCACGCTCCGTGGGGTACTCCCAATCAATATCAATGCCATCAAACCCATAAACGGCTAATAATCTAAGAACGCTTTCAATGAAAGCTTTTCTGTACGAAGAATCACTCACCATCTGTTTATTTAAGATTAATTATTTAATTTTTTAGATAAATTTGGATTTATTTAGTTATTTACCACCGAATAAGGTCGCGATCCTTGATTCCAACCACCGATAGCTAAAAGTGTTTTTAAACAAGGATTTTTTTCTTTTAAAGCAACGAATTTTTTGTACCCCCCTGAAAAAAATTTTGATAGAAAACATCAAAATTTAGATATTTTTAAATATACCAGCATCGTTGTTTGGATCTAACATTTCAATTCCTCCGTAAATACTCAATCCGGAAAACGCATAAATTACATGCGTACAAAGATCTGGTTCAATATTATCAATCGAAAATGTTGCGAAATCTTCCCTGTATATAGCCCAACTTGAAAAGTAACAAGCTATTACTTTTTGATCTACAAAAAATCATTTTTATTTTTGCTTTTATTTGCTTGTTTAATTCACCTGTTGGGCATTCCGTTTCAGATAAAACAGAACTCGCAGAAAGTAAAAAAACAACACCAAGTAACCACATTTTATGAAACACTAACTTTAATTCTCTTCGGTGATAGTTTATATAGATATTAATCTTATCATAGATTTAAAACATTAAATTATCAGCAATTTATCGCAGGAAATTGGATTTATCGATACCGTTTCCGAGGATTTATTTTTTTTCGTGGATGCAATTAATATTGTTCAAATTGTTTTACACAAACAACTTTTAATCTATTAATTAATTAATTTGATAAAAAACTTATATCATTAAAAAAAAATTATTAATACAAAATGTTAGGCAACCAACATTTCTTGGATATAATTATGTCTACATTAACATATCACACTTTCAAATATTAGTATAAACTAAAAGATAATTAATTAAATAATTAAAAATTATTAAATTAATTTAACATTGTTTATAATCACAAAATTTTTATGTAAATTGATTATTATAAAACAGAAACCTGTAATTTCAACGTTTCAAAAAACAAATTTATAGGTTATTTTTTAACCTTACTTTTATAAAAACCACAATGTTTCGTGGTTTGATACGGAAATTATGGGGAGGTTGGTGATTAAATAATGATATAAATACATTTAATATCTTGAAATAGCCCACAGCCACATCGCAAAAAACTGCAACAACTTATTTACAAAAAACATGGATTTAGAGACAAATAGAATTGTTTGGATTGACATGGAAGTGAGTTAAAAAAATGGAATTTTCATCTTAATTATTTATTAAATACCGTTTTAGATGACGGGATTGGATGTGGAAAAAGATAAAGTATTAGAAATTGCTTGTTTGATAACAGATGGTGATTTAAACACTGTAGCAGAAGGTCCAGATATAATAATTCATCATGGTAATAATGTTTTATCGAATATGAATGATTGGTCAAAAAGGCAACACGAAAAAACTGGGCTAACTGAAGCTTCAAGGAAATCTAATATCCCTATTGAAGTTGCTGAAAAACAATTAATGGATTTTATTAAAAAATATGTAACAGAAAGGATGAGTCCATTAGCTGGGAATAGTGTTTATATGGACAGAATGTTTATAAAAAAACATTTACCAAAAATAGATAATTATTTACATTACAGAATTATTGACGTCTCAACCATAAAGGAATTGTGCCAACGTTGGAATGAAAACATTTATAGAAAAGCACCAAGGAAAGTTTGCGATCACCGCGCTTTAAGCGATATAAAAGAAAGTATAAAGGAATTGAAATATTATAAAGATACTTTTTTTAAGGTATAGAATATTTGCAATAAATAAATTAAACTAATTAAGATATTAAATCAATGATATAAATCAATCCATTTGTTTTTGAATTTAACTGGTTAGCGCTGGTTGATACTAATTCTTGTTTCCGCTTTATTAGATAATATCTTAGAAGAATACCGCGTGATGCCAGCGAAATTAAATTTTTGCTACCTTAAACAAAAATATGAAATAGGCAACCCAAGTTGCACGTAACAAAAGTTAAGGTCCAAGGCCCGTTGAGTATTGGTTATAACTTATAACAACTGAAGTACAGTGCAATATTTGTTGTAAACGATTAAGTTGTTCTAAAAACAATCACCTATTAAACCACATAAAATGTAAATCCCACATTGACCAAGAAAAAAAGGATTTATGTGAAGCGTGTTTGGCCGCAAATATACCTTTAGAAAAATTAAAAAATCCAAACCTAAAAGCATTCCTTACTAAATATACTGAGAAATCCATTCCACACCCCTCTACACTCCGCAAATATTATGTACCAAAAATTTATTCAAAAACCATAAATGCCATTAAAAGCAAAGTTGATAATAGTTTTGTATGGGTCAGTGCTGATGAAACTACTGATTTATTAGGTCGTAGTATTGTCAATGTCGTTTTAGGTACTTTGGATGCAACAAGATATTCAAAAAGCTTTTTGATTGCTACTAAGGTAGCAAATAAGGTTAATGCAGAGTATGTGGCAGAAATTATAAATAAAAGTTTGTCCGAAATTTTTACAGATCCTCTCAAACGTGACAGGGTACTTTTATTCCTTAGCGATGCAGCAGCATATATGCTAAAGGTTGGCAAACTGCTCAAGAACACATACCCCCGTTTGTTACATGTGACTTGTGTAGCACATGCTTTACATCGTATTTGCGAATTTATACGAACTGAATTCCTTACTGTGGATAAATTAATAAATTTAATCAAAAAAAATTTTTTGAGAGCCCCTTTAAGAATTCAAATATATAAAGAAAAGTGTCCGCTTTTACCTTTACCACTGGAACCTATAGTTACTCGCTGGGGAACTTGGTTAGAGCAAGTTTATTTTATTCCGAAAATTTGGAAACGGTAGCAAACGTTATCGAATCTTTAAACAATGATTCCAAAAGCATTAAAAGCTTTAAAAGAACATTTGCTATATATTAAAACAAACTTTGCAGATATAAATAACGGCATCAAATATTTTGAGCAATCGGGCATAAAACTGGAGGAGTCAATAAATAAATTAAAAGAAATTATAAACAAATTAGAACGAGTACCAGGTGAATTTTCTTATCGTTTAAGTAAAAAAATTAATTCAATATTTGATAGAAATCCGGATTTAAAAACATTGCAACAATTACATTCTAACAACAATTTAACGTTTGAACATTCCGAGTTGTATTCAAATTATTTTATATATGCCCCTCTAACAAGTTGCGACGTTGAAAGAACTTTTTCGACTTTCAAAGACATTTTAACGTCAAAACGTACATCATTAACTTCTGAACATTTAGAAACACTTGTACTAGCAACTTGTAACAAGGATCTATTCTAGATACGTGATTTTCTTGTAGATTGTCGTATATTACCAGACTTCATAAAGAATTCATTCTTTAAAATTATAGAAAATGTTAAATATAAATTTTAAACAATACAGATTAACAGGAAACGCCCTTTTACATTAACAAATTCTTATTTTTTTATACAGGGTGTCACACAAAAAACGCCCCAACCTGTAACTCTGTTATTTACATTCCGATTTTCATGACCCAGGTATCAAATGAAATGGTTTTATACATACTATTATTCATGCTACAAATAAATTTTTTACAACGCCATCTTCAATTACAAGTAATTACTAACTTTTGTTTTTCAAATTGCTGCGTATATTTTTCTTCACGTCATTGGATAGAGATTGTTTTTCTGAATCCATTGATGTATAATACATCCGTTTTAAATGTAGTTTTAGCAGAAAAAAGACACCTGTATATACAGGTTGTCACACAAGAATGCCATAAGCTGTAACTCTGTCATTTAAATTCCGATTTTCATGAGCGAAATATCAAATGAAAAGGTTTGATGAATACTATGATTCATGCTACAAATAGACTTTTTCCAACGCCATCTTGAATTTCAAACGATTACCAACTTTTGATTTTCAAATTGCTCGGTATGTTTTTTTTCACGCTATTGGGTAAAGATTCCTTTTCTGAGTCCATTGATGTACAATACATGAACATTAATTGTAATTGTAGTATAGAAAAACATTAAAATAGTTTCCTAACATTCTCTTAAAGTTACTTGCGTTATACTGTAGTGTGCCATGGGAAAAAAAAATAAAAAAACAACTTATAAGTATCATTTACAACTGCTTCGGGCATTGAAATAACATTTAATGACTATTATCAGTTTTGCGCGTTCTTTCTTCCATGGCACACAGTATTACAGAAGTGACTAAGACAATGTTCGGAAAATGTTTTAATTGTTTTCCTCTGCTAAAATTACAATTAATGTTAATGTATTGTACATCATTGGGTTCAGAAAAAAAATCTCTATACAATAACGTGTAGAAAAACATACCGAGCAGTTTGAAAATCAAAAGTTGATAATCGCTTGAAATTAAAGATAGCGCTGGAAAAAGTTTATTTGTAGCATGAATCATAGTATTCATCAAACCATTTCATTTGATACCTCGTTCATGAAAATCAGAAGGTAAATGACAAAGTTACAGCTTGCGGCGTTCTTGTGTGATAACCTGTATATACAGGTGTCTTTTCTTTGCTAAAATTACTTTCAAAATGGATGTATTCTATATCAATGGATTTAGAAAAACAATCTCTATCCAATAACGGGAAGAAAAATATACGGAGCAATTTGAAAAACAAAAGTTAATAATCGTTTAAAATTAAAGGTGGTCTTGGAAAAAATTTATTTGTAGCATGAATCATAGTATTCATCAAACCATTCCATTTGTTACCTCACTCATGAAAATCGGATTGTAAATAACACAGTTACAGCTTGGGGCGTTTTTTGTGTGACACCCTGTATAAATTACAATTTTACATAGCGATAAACGCTCCACGCCACTGGTTGAGTTTTAGTCGGACAATCGGCCAAACACGCATTGAACACTGCACCGCGGAGAACCCCCCCAAATCGTACATAGACCAGCATTCAACCAGTATTGTTAAGTTGCGGCACATCGATGTGCTCGATAGAAGCATGTTACTACTACGCTGTAACGCGTTGCCGCTCTATACAGATGGTGACATCAACAGCCCGAAACGTCGTGGCTTTGGTTATAAGTTATAAGGTTATCTAACTCGAACAAATTGACGTTGACGGGGTAAGGTAGGAAACGTGACGTCATTGGAGGAAAAGTATAATATACAGATGCCTATTATGTATGGAATATAGTATACAGTGTATCCCCGTAAGGCAGCGTTTCTCAACGTTTCAGTATTCGGGCCCCAATTTTCAATAACAATTTTACCTTTTTTTTTGCGTCATTTGTTTAAAAATTTTGGCAGCAGGCAGCATGAAACCTAATAAACTTAGACGCCATTTGGAAACACTTCATAGTGAGTACGTTAACAAGCCCCGAGAATTCTTTGAATTAAAATTAGTCATATGAAGAGCAAACATCATTCTTCAAAAAAACTTTGTTTGTGAACGAAAAAGTTTTACTTGCCTCTTACAAAGTATCATATAAAATAGCCAGATATAAAAAGGCTCACACCATTGGTGAAGACCTTATTCTGCCAGTTGCGATGGAGATTGTAGAAACTATGTTTGGAGATAATTTTGCCAAACAATTACAATCCATACCTCTTTCAAATGATACTGTTGCCCGCCGAATTGGTGATATAGCCGAAGATGTACAGCACCAGCTTCTCGAAAAGTTTTATGACAAATTGTTTTCGATTCAGCTTGACGACGCAACAGATAGCAATGAAGACGCTCATTTAATTGCCGATGTCTGGTTTTGTGATCGCATATCGGCACTAGAAGAACTACTTTTCTGCAAACCTATAGAACTCAAAGCAACAGCACTCGCTTTGTTTGATATTTTAATTGATTTTATTAATGAGGCAAACATAGAGTGGAAGAATTGCGTTGGAATATGCACCGATGGTGCTTGTACAATATCTGGAAGATTCCAAAGCGTACAAGCACTTGTGAAACAAAAATTTCCGCAATGTGTCTGGACACCGACCATCAATAGAAAGGCTCTGGTTTCCAAAGAAATGAGTCCTGGTCTCAACATTGTACTAACGACGGTTGTAACTGTAGTAACTTATATAAAAATGAGACCCGTAAAATCAAGAATCTTTAATGCACTTTGCAAAGATATGGGTGCAGAACATTCGACGTTGCTATTTTATTGTGAGGCCATCGCGTGGGAAATTTCTACAACGTGTTTATGAGTTAAAAGAGGAAATTGCCACTTTTCTAGAAGAGGAAAACCGCCTGGAAGCCAAAAAGTTTCGAGATGCTTTATTTGTGATGAAATTGGTTATATATTCGAGAAATTAAATACCCTGAATCTACAACTCCAAGGAGCAAACACACATATGTTGGATAGCAGTGATAAAGTTAGTGCATTCTGTAGAAATTTGGAGCTGTGGAGCAGAAATGTGAAACAAAAAAAACTAGAAATGTTTGCAAATGTGAATGAGTGTGTCAAAACATACAAGGAAGAAGAACAGTATGTGAAAGTTGTTTTTGTAACAATAGAAAGTCATTTAGCCATGTTGGCACAGAATTTTGAAAAGTATTTTCTTGCTGACGACAAATTGGTAGCAAGTTACGAGTGGGTTAGGGATCCATTTCGAACTACTCACGAAGGTCTCTCAACTGCAGAAGAAGAAATCTTCATACACTTTACTGCAAGGGGCGAAATTTAGTAATAGAGAGAATTTAGTAATAAAACTCTCTTTGAATTTTGGGCGGGAGTGGATGATGCATTTTCTCCACTGAAAACAAGAGCATTTCGTATATTATTGCCATTTTCAACATCCTACCTTTGTGAAGCCGGATTTTCTGCGGTGGCTGCTTTAAAGACAAAATATAGGACTCGACTGAATATAGACCAAAGAACTGAGAGTGGCTATTTGTAATATAAAACCTTCTTTTGAAAAACTTTGCTGTGCGAGACAGGCCCAAGGGAGTCACTAATAATTATAATCATTACAGCTACTTTTAATTTAGTACTGATGAGTCTATTATTAGTTTCATTTGGCATTTGACAGTACCTGATACAATTATATTTATAGTAATTAAATACCTAGGTAATAGTACGAGTGTATTAGTTTAAGTGTGTACTGTACTTAATTTTTTGTAATGTCAGAATGACATTAATTTTTTATTAGTAATTATCTTTTTTTTTCATTTTGATGTGTTGGCGCCCCCATGTAGAATTATGACGTCCCCATAGGGGGGCGCGCCCCACAGGTTGAGAAACGATGCCGTAAGGTATAATTGACAATAAATTTTTGAATTCAAATTCCATCTTTTGCAATTAAAGTCAAACGTGCTCAAAGTACCAAAGTTAACGCAAGAAGTTTGTTAACCGTTGCAGGTAAAGTGGCCTTTCTGAGCAATGTACAACAAAAGTTGATTAAGATAAAATGTTTGTTATGTTAAATTATAGCGATATGCCGAATTTTATTAATTTAGGATATAAAAGCACAATGCAGATTTTTAAATCATAAGATTAACAAAACATTTTCGATCTAAAGTAAATTAATATAAAAGCTTATTCAATGATACCACCATCAACACTAACACATAATTCAGCCCTTTTGCGCCATTGTTTATAACTTTTTCTAATATGGTCCAACGGAATTTCTCTAATAACAGTTCCAATTTTTTGTTTTAAACGGTCTAAATTGTTATTAAAATTTTCAGTGTACACTTTTTGTTTTACATAACGCCAAAAATCCATAATAGATAAATCCGGACTTCTTGGCGGCCATGGTTGCGGACCATATCTACCAATCCATTTTTTTCTACCAAATAACGTATTTAAATCATTTCTAATTAAAATGGTGGAGTGTGGGCCGCAACTATCTTTGGAACTATCTGTTGGAAATATAATTTATTGCGCTTTTCTAAATCCACGCCGTGAAGATAATTAAATAAACAATTTTCAAGTATTTCCAAATATCACAAAACAGCACCCCACACATTCACTTTCTGGGAATACTGGCGTTTACAAGCTATGCGATAATGTGGATTAGTCTTTGACCAGAATCGACAATTTTGTGATGTAACCCATAGTACATTAGTGGTGAACGATGCTTCGTCCGAAAATATTATGTTTTTTAAAAAGTTCTGTCTTTCAAAATTTTGTACCCAAACCACAAACAATAATCTAAACGTTTTGCTTCATCACCTAATTCGATAGTGAGGTTAAATTTTGGTTTATACGGCAATATTTTATTTTCTCGATAAATTCTTTGTAAATGGGATTTACTTATACCGACTTATAAATTTATTAACAACTCTTAATTGTTTTTTTATCTACTAAAAATCCAAATTTTTCCTCAAATTGCCTTAAAACTGCATTGTAACTAATGTTCCCCAATCCATGGCACTGCGCTGTAAATATTTTATGTTGTAATGTAAACATGATCACTTAATATCTGACAATAGGCTAAAGCTAAGCTATCAAATGATAATTGTTAGTTCACTCAGATCATTTGTTTTTATTGTAAAACGAAATATTAAAAAAAAATTTTCAAGAAAAAACTCATTTTTTCTTTTATATGCTAAATTAATAAAATTCGGCATATCGCTATAATTATTTAACATAACAAATATTTTATCTTAATCAACTTTTGTTGTACAGGGTGGGCAAATTTGGGTGTTATTATAGGCTATCTCAGAAACTATAAGAGATACCGACGATTTTTGAATTAGCAACATACCACCAGCTTAAAATAAATCCTGACAAATCTATGTGGATGAGTTTTAATGGGCAACAACGCAACCCTACTTCGCACTTAGCCATTAATATGAATAACACCTTAATTAAAAAGGTCTCTGAAGCTAAGTGTCTTGGTATGATTTTAGATACTAGCTTAAGATTTAGAAAACAAATTCAAACATATATTCAGAGATCATATTTTTTTTTGCGTCGGCTGTACCCGCATCGTTCATGTTTACCTTTGAAATTAAAAGTGCTCCTCTGTGATATGTTTGTTCTTTCACAATTTAATTATATGTCTGCTGTATATCATAGGGCTATAGATGCAGTCACGTCACGAAGTATACAAAAGGTTCAGAATAGTTGCCTCAGATTCATTTATGGGATTCGCAAATTTGATAGAGTTTCTTATAAACTTAAGGATGCTGGGTGGCTGAACATGAGCTCTCGACGGGAGTTTCATAGTTTGTCTCTCTATCATAGAATCGTTACCTCTGGAGTCCCGGAGTACCTGCATAATAAAATTAAATATAAACCACAGTGCGAGGGAAGTCAGACAAGGTCAGGTATTAGTTTCTATCCTCCAAAACATAGAACATCACTTTTTCAAAGGTCATTTACATATCATGTTTATAAATCGTATGGAAGCTTGCCACATGCACTACGTCAACTGAAATATGACCAATTTCGAATAAAATTGAGGAATATGATTTTTCAGCAGTCAACGGGTCTTGTCTGATGTTTGTTATTCTTTGTTTCTCTGTGATTTTTTTGTGACCTTATTCTTATTGATATAAAGTCATTGTTACGATGTTAACAGTTACGCCATCAGTTATTACACTGAATCCTTTTTTAATTTTCATTATTATTGTTTTTTTTTCTCCTTTTCTTTCTTTTTTTTTTCTCTTTCATTTAATTTACGTTTGGGTCTTTTGGGCCCTTTCATTTAATTTAATTATGTTTAAATTTAGATTTGATATGATGCGGGTGATACTGTATTAATGATTTCAAGATTTTGCCTTTGTTTTTCTTTTCTTTTTATTTGTTATAATTCATAGAATTTTTTTTTTTTATTTTACGGTTGGATAGAACAGACTATTCTGGATCCCGCCGCACAGTGGTCCGAAAACACTCAAAACCCGATCGAAAATCAATTGAAAAAAAAATTTTATAGTGTTGTTTTTTTAAATGTTACATATATTTTAACTATTAATAGACTCTTAGTGAAGTTTATGAAGTCTTTGGTGTTTTATAATAGCTACTGCGCGAAATAAATTGCTATTACAATTACCTTATTTTGTATAAGGAAATTTTTTAGAAAACGACACAACTTTAGAAAACAAAAAAGATGGTATATCACTACTTGAAAATATTGTGTCGTTGGTTTCTTATAAAGTACAGAAAGGTCTTCATTTTACGACTTTCCAAATTTCAAAAGATGTTTGTTGAAAAAAATTACAACCATTTCTATTGACGTCAATAAATACTTATATTTTTTGACCATTCAATCTTTTAAATTAAATATCTTGCGAGCGAACAAAATCGAACAATTGTAGCTAACATTTTTTTATTGCTGAAGGTATGGTGTACATAGCATAAGAAAGAAATCTTGCGCCAACGTGCGCCTTAACCAAAAAATTGGCAGTCAAAGATTACTTAACACATAATTGTGGATCTTATTTATCCTTGTTATGATTTTCGTTATTTTGTTGCTATGTTTTGGTTTTTATCTTTTCTATTTTGGGTAGACTTCAAACAAATGAAGATTTATTTAAAAGACTATTACTGAGCTCCGATCCATTTATTAGTAACTTTTATAAAGAATGTTCAGAAAGATATAAAAATATGAATGAAGACATGAAAAATTTACTTATACTGGACAAGTCTCTAGAAGAAAAGGAAGGTAAAGAAGAAGATGATGATGATGAAGAAAGTGAAGAAGAAGACAATAATGATGAAGAAGTAAATATAGAGGAACAAGATCTAGAAAATGAAGAAGACTCACACAAATTGAGATAAATTTTGTTATGTTGGTGAATATAACAAAATATTTTATATTATCTCGAATAATTTGAAATGTATGTGGACTATCTCAGTATCATGGGAAAATTCTACTATAAGTAGGCTGCAAACTTACGTATTATGGTCTCCAATATCACTTCAAATTAAGAGCGATGAGTTTATTCTCGAATAGTTCTTAAAACATTTTTAGTAAAAGCTAAGTAAAATTGAGCTATCTAACCAACTAATTCTGCCAATTAATTTTGCCACATTTTTATCAAATTCCATTTCTGATAGGGTAAAAAAATATGGGGCGTTCCATTTAAAATTTTCGACTTTCTTACCATTGAATATGGAGAAACGATAATTCAATTTTTGACCACCCTGTATAAGATACTTTAATACAACAAATGACAATCTGTTTGACAACATCTCAAGAGTAATCGTGCCAATTTAGAGCTTTTTTGAATGAACGTTGGCTGAGATATAAGGTTT